GAAAGTGTTTTGCTAACTATTCATGAAGGTAAGAAATTTTTATTTTAGTCCAAAGAAATGTTCAGTTCCCAAGACCAGAGCCTAGAAAAGGGCCGGAGACTAAACTCAGAAAGACATTCAGGAACCTGACATTTGAGATTTTACATTTGTTCCAATCTAGCTGAGAAACAACATGAGCCAGCCACCTCTAGGTCACTTGTACAATAGCCAGGCGAGAACGGAGCCCTGGCACCGGGAAGCACAGCAAACTCAGTCCTTCGGGCCTCACAGCACCACACGTTGTGCTAAGCTTCGATTGTGCGCTTGGATCACCTGCACTGGACTGACTAAGACTGTGATCAGCAGAGTCGTATTTCTTGTTGGGGAAGAAACTAAGAAGGCTTAGAAAAGGTGGGCACGGTCTGTGAGTGGACACACCTGCTTCTACTCACCCAGGGCGAGGCGGAGAATGTCGGACCTGAGCTGCCTTCCAGACCAGCGTGTCCTATCCTGCCTGTAAGAGGGCTTTCCCAGGCAGGGAGGAAACCCACTCTTCCCTATGAAGCTCACTGCCATTACATCATACCCTTGGGATTTTCAATAATAGAACGAGCAACACACAGAGAAGCACAGGTTTTAGCATGAGGTGCTGCACCAGGATCTGGGCAAAAAGACCACAGTGCAGTCTTAGGTGGCAGAAACCTTTCTGCGGGCAATTAAAGTGCCCTGGTTCTATTAGGAGTTGCTGCTAGCCTGGGGCCGGTGGATCCTACCACAAGGGAAGTTGGGGTGTTTTTCCAGAAATACTCTTTCCTTGGAAAGGACGATTAGAGAATGCTGTGCTAAACACATTGAGCCAGAAGGTATTGTAGATATTTTCTTGTTCCATACAGAAAGCCATACAGAAAATGCAGTCTTGGCAGGGACTGCTGGGTTCCTGGAAAGCCTTCGGTATCGACACCTGGGGCCAGATGCTTAGACTAGCAGAAGGTATCCCTTCTTCTGCTGACCAGTGACAGCTGGGTTGTGTCCATTTTCCAAAGCCTGAACGGTTCCGTTTCCAATCACTCTTCCGTCATGAAGGTTCCTTTCAGCTTTAAATTTCTGAGTCTGTCACCAAATGTTAAACAGCTAAGAATTCGAGGCACAAACCTTGGCACTGTGAAGGAGACATGGTTGCTTCTTGCCATCCCTGGTCCTCCCCAAAAAGGCCAGTGAAAAACTTCGAGAACAACATTCTCATTCATTTACCATCTCCTGCTAAAGCACTGCAAGCAAATTATTTTTCCAGAAAGCTGAAGCTTACTCCATTAACTGCCAAGACTATATTTGAATCAGTTTTGATGGAAATCATAAAATGTATTATACAGCTCTCTCTCTCTCTCTCTCTCTCTCTCTCTCTCTCTCTCTCTCTCTCTCTTTTAAAGTGATGGTACTGATCATTGTTACCTTTCTTTAATGGTTTAAAACTGATGTTTGTTTGGATCCACCTATTCTTTCAACAAATGTTTATTGAATGATCATTGTTGGTTGGCAATTTCTGCCTGTTAGGAATACAACAGAATACAACAGTGAGGGTTACACAAATCCTGTCCTCTAGAAGCTTCTAGAAGGTACAGGAAACAGAAACAGTAGCAGGCTATTGTTCTATGGCCTATTAGGAGCTACTGCCATGATAGAGGGGAGAGACAGACAGACAGACAGACAGACAGACAGACAGA